AAAATGACCACATTAGACCCCTCTGGATAAAAAAGAAGACTTCTTTCTTCTTAAAACTCTGCTTTCATTTTTAAACATCACCTTCATAGGAGCATAGTCTGCCAAAGGGGGGGTGCACTAAGGGAGTGTCACATGTTTTTAATTATAATTTTGAGCAAGCTCATGTAAAGTTTCTTATACCAACAGTTGTTCTAAAAGAGTTGATTTTTCTTTGTATAAATCCACCATTCCCAGAAGAAAGAGTGAATACTCTACAACGCTTTTAAGATATCCTTTCTATGCCTTGGTAGACAAGCACTGAGTAGTTATTGAATAGAAGGGCTTTCAATATATGCTAGGAGCTAAGGGGGAAGCAGGGAGGAACACATGAGTTGGGCTAATCAGTGAAGGCTTCATGGAGGAAATGGTCATGGAAATAGGCCTTGAAGAAGAGGATTCAAATAAATGGAAAGGAGGGGAGAGGGCCAGTCATGAGTTTGAAGGATTGAGTAACTGCTCAAAGTGGACACTCAAAGGTCACAGATTAAATCTGCTCCCTAGCTTTAGTCTATAGTGGGTCCAAATATAGACCTGGCCCAGAAGTGACCCAATATCCAATACTGAATCCTTTGGCTAGATGTCTAGGGTCCCCCTGGAGCTATTGTGGAGCTGCTCCAAATGTAGCAGATCTCAAGCTCACAGCTTTAGTAAGAGGAGGTTCCAAATATCTTAAGACTTATAGTCTGTTACTAACTCTTACTTTCATCCCACTATGCTTTGTTAATACCTCATAAAATTGTATTATCTTTATAGACAGTATAGTAAGGATATATACATGATGATAAATTGATATATGCATTGCCAGAGCTAGCTCAGTGCTTGGCAGGCTTTGAAGGAAAGTGTAGGAGAGAAGATGTATTAGACTGCCTACCAAACTGAAGGAATACAGAGCCATTGTGCTGACCTCCTAGTTGTATGCCTGTGAAACCTGGATAGTCTACCAGCACCATGCCAGGAAACTGACTCACTTCCATTTGAATTGCCTTAGGAAGATTCTTATGATCACCTGGCTGGATAAGATACAAAATGCTGAGGTTTTCGCTCAAGCTGAACTGCCAAGCGTTCAAACTCTACTGCAGACAAAGCAACTCTGATAGGCTGGTCATGTTGTTTGAATGCCAAATGTACATCTTCCTAAGAGACTATCTTATGGAGAACTCACACAAGGCAAGTGCTCACACAAAGATTAGAAGAAGCAATACAAAGACATTTGCAAGATGTCTCCGAAGAATTCTGGAATTGATTGTGAGACATGAGGACAGTAGCAAAGGACTGCTCGGCATGGCGTGCCCCCATCAAAGAAGGATCTATGCTCCATGAGTAAAGTTGAATTGCAACAGCTCAAAAGAAATGTGAGATGCACAAATTTAGAGACATCTCCACTCCAAATATTCATATGGACTATTGTACCTGACCTGTGGTAGAGCCTTCTGAACTTGCATTGGGCTGATCAGCCACCATCGGACACACTGTATCTTGCCCACAACATAGTGATGTCATTTTGGTCCTCTTTAAGAATTAAGGAAAACAAACAGTCAAGGAGGCCATTGGAAGGACAAATACTGAAGCTGAAGCTTGGCCACATAATGAGAAGACAGTACTCATTGGAAAAGATCCTGATGTTGGGAAAGACCGAAGGTAAAAAGGAGAAGGGGATGGCAGAGGGTGAGATGGATAGATAGTGTCATGGAAACAATGAACATGAGCTTGGACAGATGTCAGGAGATGGTAGTGGACAGAAGGCCTTCATGCACCATGGTCCATAGGGTCACAAAGAGTTGGACATGCCTGAGCAAATGAACACAATGACACTGTCTCCATTCATTTCTCCTCCATTTGTTCCTTACCTCTTCAACCTGTTAGGATGGTGATTTGACTTTCATTTCTTCCAGGGCTGGCTCTTAAAAGTTTTTTGATCTGGTTGAGGAGTTAAGTAGTCTTCCCTTACTCATTTTATTTGGTTTTAAATCTGCCATTGAACATTTTTTCATCTTCATCCCAAATCCACTCTCTTTCTTTCTTACAGCTTTGAAAGCGTCTGCCTAAGACTTTGGGGCTGGGCCTAAAAGGAATGGATTCCTTTTTGATCTTGGCAGGGTGAAGAGTAGGATGTAACGTTAAAGGCTCTGGAAGAGTGCCTACGGGTTAAAGACAAGAAAGCCCAAGTATTTAAGCCTTTCTCCTCTTCTGCCTTTTTTTCTTCTACCTTTCTCTATCTTTTCTTCCTGCTTATTTCCTCATTGCTCCTCATGATTTCCTTCTCCACTATTTGATATAGACCCGGCACATCTTGCCACAAATACTGCTTCATGACTGACTATTTCACAATGGCCTATTTATGTCAGCCTTCTTGACTTGGCAAAGATGCTTTGGATATCCTCCCTCTGTCTGCCCAGCCAACCTGAGTGGTTGCCAGGGTCTCAGGTGCCCCTTCCCCAGCTTTGATTGGGCAGGCAAATAAACCAATCATTAGTGGCTGAATGAAAGAGTAGTCGTGGCTAGAGGACCATAATACATGGATGGCATTCTCAATCCATGGCACATTCTTTTATTTTAACCCATAATGGCAGTTATGGCTGTTAGTTCCTCTCAAATAGATGTCAAAATCTAATACACTTTATTAGACTTTCCTAACATTTAGTCTTTGTTCATTTGTTGTCTGGCCTTGCTAAATGATTTCAAAATTGAAGAGAACAAAATACAAGCTTGCTCTTTGGATGCATTTAATAAAAACCGTCCAATTTACTCAAAATGATTTGGCACACTGGGCGCCTGTCTGCTTCAGTTTTTCATTCTCTCTCAGATGCTAATTATTTTTTCTTTCAATACTCTTGGAGTTTTGGCCTCTGGTCTCAAATCTTGCCTGCTGAGTATGTGTTAGGTTTGTAAATTGGATGACATCTGTTTTGAATTTGATCATCTTTCATTTTCTCTCATGCCCTTGTCACTTATTAATTTCCACTTTAATTGTGTGGCTCTGACCTCTTCCTGCATGTTTCAGACAATAACCTAGAGAACTCTTAGTTTTGGGGACAGAGAAATTAGGGAAGCCAAAAGTTAACAATAATGGCCATTCAGAGAAAAGATGCTGCTCCAGGAGCCATGGCAACCGATGCAGATAAAGATGAGCGTTAATAAGAGAGACTCACTGCTGCCTGTCTGCCTGCACCAATATCTGGGGGTTCCCACCACTGGATCTCAATGGGTTAGAAGAACAATGAGAGCAAGGAAAAAGGACTGAGCTAACTGAAATCGCTTGTGGGGAAGGAAAGAGGGCTCAGGCATCCGTGCTCTCAGAGTCTTTTTCCTCTCCCTTCTGCTTGCCTTTCTTTAGGTTACATGGGGGGGGGTGGGGGATGGCAATGGGAACAGAAACGAAGGCCTTTTCTCATGTGCATAGCCTTGTTGGAGGAGATTTTCTTTTTCTTTCCTTTATTTCTTCATTTCTTTCTTTAATTTGTTCCTTTCTCTTTTTTCTTTCTCCTCCTTCCCTCTTTCCTTTCCTTCCCTCTTCCTTCCCTCCTCCCTCCCTCCCTCCCTCCCTTCCTTCCTTCCTTCCTTCCTTCCTTTCCTTCCTTCCTTCCTTCCTTCCTTCCTTCCTTCCTTCCTTCCTTCCTTCCTTCCTTCCTTCCTTCCTTCCTTCCTTCCTTCCTTCCCCCATGGTGAGACTGCATTGTATAGTGGATTGAGTAGTGGACTTGAAGTCAGAGAGGCCTGGGTACAAATCCCACCTGAGACACTTACCAGTGTCCAACTATGGGCAAATCACATAATCTCTCTGACCCTCAGTATCCTTAGATTTAAAATGCTAACAATAGTAGCACCTACCTCAAAGAGCAAAATTCCAGTGAGGAATAAGAAGTAAAGTTGAAGGCTCACAAAGAGTTCCTATGGCTTAAAGCAATTCTTTGGTTGTGATGCCCAAACGAGACCATGTATGCAACATGTTCTGTTGAGGCATTTCTTATTACTCTTTCTCAGAAGTTGCCTGTGAAGTATTTCTGTTAAATCATTGTCCCTGGGATTTATTTAATGAGAAGAAGTTCATAAATTATTAAAGTGCCCCTGATACATTTGGGAGATGTAAAGAATTAGTGGCACTTCTTAGCTCATAGGAATAGGGCAGTGTGTGTAACGTTTGATACTTCTCCAAAGTACTTTCTCATGCATTATTTCACAAACTTGGTCCAAATAGGCTCTGTCTCCTAGCCTCCTGACTGCAGGGCTTTAGCAGAGGAATCTGAGAGAATTAGACCTAGGCATGAATGAAGCTTAATCTTTCTCCTCTAGTGCACATGCCAGTTACCGGGAGGGAGCAATCAGCCTATGGGCTGTGCCCAGAATGCCAAATGACTTTCCCAATAATGGACCCTCTCACAATCCCACGTGAGGCTGCAGTGTGAGTTCTAAACCAGCTCCCTGAAAAGCAGCAGCATGGAAATTTTGTAAAAGCTCAGGGGGCATACTTGACTTCCTAAGAGCACGTGCTGCAGGGATCAACCCTCCCTAAAGTTAATCTTGCATCTTTGGGAGGCCTTCCCCCTGAAGATATCCCTAACCAGGTTATGAGTATTGTAGAATGAAAGATTTAAAATGTCTTTCTACACCCATTGGAGAAGAATGCAATAATTATTGAAATCTTCATGTGCTCAGCCAAGATAATGAGCAAAGCAAAAGCGCATCTGCCATCATTCTCCAACCAAAGACGATGAAGTTGAGTGGGGCTGCTTGTACCATCTACCTCCCGGGGAGGATAGAAGTGGGCCCTGCAGGGTTTTTATTTTAGCCAATGAAGCCCTGGACAGAAAGAGTCATTTGGCAACACATTTTCTGGAAGATGTTTTTATTGCAAAGTATGTGTGCATAAATGAGGTGTTTTTTGTTGGGCTCCTTCTCCATTCAAAGGCAAATGTGGCCATTGACCTAGAACCCAAAAAGGAACAACTACAACATCCATTTACCTCCTTCTTTGGGCACTGTCGCTGTCCAGGTGCCGAACGAGAAGCTTGGCGATGGCGGTGAAACTGTTACTCATCCGGTAGATATCTCTGCTTTGAGTCCCCAGGATGGCAGAGAAGGTGTCCGTGAGATTCTTAATCTCCAACAAGAGAAGGTGGTGAAAGGAGTGATCCATGTTAGCAAGCTGCTCCACCAGGTAAGTCAGACAGGTCCTCGCACTCTCCTGCCAAGGACAATAGGGAGAAATCCACATTTGGTTCATTCCAAGAGTCCCAGAACCAACACAGAACATATTCCTTATGGGGAACTGAGCGATGAGGTCAAAAAAGGAGTCATCATTTCAAGTTCCAGGCCATCTCAAATTGTTTGTTCCCTGGCCTTGTCATCTCCAATTTCTTCATCCACGTCCCTCCAAACCACGCTGTATACCATGCTTAGACATTTTCTTACAGAAATACTTTCAATTCTATGGAATAAGAAATGGCTCTTGGCACAGGGGGGGGAGGGGGAGAAGAATATAGGGGGAAATTAAGGTGATGAATAAACAAAATATATCAATAAAATTTTATTCTAATAAAAGGAATCCTTTCATCATGCAGGACTATTTTTGATTTTTTTTTTGTAGCTATTAGCTCTAAGCTGAGGACACAACAAAAGCTTAATAAATGCTTTTTGAATTGATCATGTCCATCCCTTAACAGTAAATAAACATTCTCAATTTCCTACTACATAAAATCAAAAAACCTCTCTGGATTTTTAGACACCTTGAATCTGATCCTCCCTACTTCACGCATATATGTATGGGTATATACACACGTACGCACACAAACATATACATATACACACATATATCTATATATATGTTATGTGTATTTTAGAATGAAAGATTTAAAGTGTCTTTCTACACACACTGGGGAAGAACACAATAATTATCTACATCTTCATATGTGTGTGTATATATATCATATATATATATACACACACATATGTATATATATTTTTGTTCTGTTAAAATTGCTCCTTCCTCACATGCATATATGCAATGTGCAACTATCAAGCTAACTCCCACCTTCATACCTTTGCCCATATTGACCCTCCTAATTCCTTACATTCTCTTCCCTCCTCTGCCTCTCTTTAAATCCAGCCCTTCTTTCAAGGTCTAGCTAAAGTTAAGGAAGCCTTCCCCCAGTGAGCCATCTTTTCTCTGGAGTCCTGCTATAGAATCACAGAATTTGGGAAAGGACTTTGGAGGCTGTCTAGAATAAGTTAGTCCTAACAAAGAGTTCCCCCTACAACAAAATTAATGAGTTGTCATCCCATCATTACATTAAGATTCAGGTGTGTGTGGGGGCTGACTGCTTCTTGAGGTAGTACATTCCACTTTGAAATAGCTCTTCTATGAAGTTTTTCTTTATGTCAAAGTTAAATTTCCCTTTTTGCAACTTGAATAAATTCTTGTGGAATGAATGAATGAATGAATGAATGCATGCATGCATGCATGCATGAATGCATGAATTTTCTTGTACCCACTGCTCGTTCTTCTGCCCTTGGGGCCAAGCAAAGCAAGTCTAATCTCTTTCACATGATGGCCCTCCAAATATTTGAAGATAGCTACTACACATTCCCCTGAATCTTCTCTTCTTCAGAAGAAATAGCCCACATTCTGTCCATCTATTTTTGCATGACATATTTATAAGATTTCACACAACAGAGCTTTCACAAACAACTTGATTATACATTCTGTCCTCTTATTTTCTGACTGCTAGTCTGAATTTTGCTTTTCTAACTTAATGGGAAGTTCCCAGCAGTTAGAGACCAGAGAAACTATTTTTCGCATACTCTTATATTATTCTTTACAATATTTAGCACAACACTAGGCACTGATAGGCATTCAAAAAATGTATGAAATTGATGAGTTCATTTAAGAGAATCTATTATACAGAAATCCAGAGGTACAAAACAGGAAAATTAGAAGCTTGTCAGTCACATCAGGAATCTTTACACAGTGATTCACTTCAGGATGACTGAGGAGAGAACCTCCCTAAGACACCTGAAACATGATTTGATTTAGGAAAAATTACACACACACACACACACACACACACACACACACACACACACACATCAATCTATCTATCTATCTATCTATCTATCTGTACAACTTTACTGAAACATCTCTGTTGCATAGTATAGGGAAATACACTTATCAAACAACAAATATTTGTGAAGTGTCTATTATGATGCATTTATAAGATGTTGTGGGGGCTACAAAGAAGGCCAAAATAGGTGTAATTCCCACCCTCAAGGAATTTCCACTCCCTGCTTTCCCAGCCCAGTGTCCCTGCTCTGCCTTCCCTGCCTTTCCCTCACAGTCTTCATGATGGAATTAACTAATTCAACTTTCTCCTGTCCTCTCCCTTTGTGTCCTTTGCCCTTTCATCATATTGCTATTTATTCCCTTCTAAAGGTCAACCCTGCCTTACCCCTCCCATTCACCACCTTCCTCCTCCTGGCATGTTACTAAATGTCTCTCAGAGAAGTTAAACAAGCAAGATGCCTGGGGCCACTATGGATTTGTGCTCACTTAACTGAACTGGGCTCTCAATGTTATGTGGTGCTCCTTCCCTAACTGACTATTGATCGTGTGTCTTCTGGAGAACATCTAGCCCTCCCCCTGCACCTTACCTCCTACACCTTCTTCTCCTCCTTTCCCCAGAAAGGAGCTCACCTCATACTAAGGCCCTTTGTCACCAGATCCATCTTTTCTCAATTCTGATATGTTAAATCTACTCCACATCATCTTCTCTTTTCATTTGTTCTGGTCTTGGGAAAAGGTGGTAACTTTTCTCTTTGTCAATGCCAATTGCTCTGCTTGTGTCCTTGATCCTATCCTGTCCTATCTCCATCAGGAGCTTAACCCTTCAACCCTCTCTTCTTCTCATCTAATCTTCAATATATTTCTATGCTCTGACTCTTTCCCTGCTGCCTACAAATATGCTCAGCTCTCTCCCATCCTCATATTTTAAAAAAGCTTCCTTTGACCTTGAATTTCTCTCAAGATATCATCTCAAATCTCTCCTTCCTTGTATGGCTAAACTTCTAGAAATAAACTGCCCACACTGATTACCTCCTTTTCTTTAGTTATTTCTCAACTCCTTGAAATTTGGTTCCCAAATCTTCCTGTCTAGCATTCATCATTCTCTTGAGCTCCAGTCTCACATCACCAACTGTCTGGTGGAGTTCTGGGAAGAGGCCACAGATGAAGATATTCATTTGGGAGTCATGTGCATTCAGGTAATTGCTAAAGCCAGAGGAGGCTCTGATTCACCCCACTCATGTGACCCAAGCTACCTAACCTCTCAGTATGGTAGGCCACTCTTTAAGGCTATCAGGTACAAAGAAAGTGGCCATCTGCATTGGCAAGATGGATTTTCCTATATCAGTGACATCATGGGTCTAGTTTCTATCCCCATTCCTATAGAAAAAGGCATTGAAGAAAGAAGAGAAGAGAAGAATGCTCAGGACAAAAATCTTAAAGTCTGCATAAATTTAAGGGATGAGACAAGAATGAAACAACCACAGAACAGGGGAAGTGCCATCAGAGAGGTAGGAGGGGAGCCAAGAGAATGCAATGGCCCTGAAGTCTCTGAGCCTCAGTTTCCTCATTTTGTTTGCTCATTGGGGATAATACTTGAATTACCTGTTTCACAGGGTAATTTTGAGGCAAAAAGGGATAATTTATAATAGCATACTAGGGGAAAAAGTATGTGTCTTAATTTCACAAATAACATTAGTAGTTGTAATAAAGTTTAAATTCCTACAGTTCTTTACAAAGCTGTTTTCTTGCTTGAAAAGCATTTTAAAAATGTAGGTCATGGGGGAGAGAATGGATTCAAGATAAATGAGATCTGGTACCTTAGAGTGTTTGTACTGTAGAAAACAAAATTAAAGCATGATGTAAATATCAGTTATTGTTATTGTTATTATTATTTTATTTTTAGGCAATTGGGGTTAAGTGACTTGCCCAGGGTCACACAGCTAGTAAGTGTCATGTATTTGGTCTGAGGGCAGATTTGAACTCAGGTCGTCCTGACTTCAGGGCCAGTGCTCTATCCACTGTGCCACCTAGCTGCTCTGATTTGGTATTAATTTTAACCTTTAATTAGACAATGATCTGTCTATACAAAGATAACTGATTCAATCATGACTCCTACATCAATAACAAGTTATTTACTACCCATCAAGATACAGACATTTTCATGATTCCAACTTCCTTCTTGAAAAAAAATTCTCAGTAGCCTATAAGCCTTTTGCCTCACTTATTTTAAAATCATAAAACATATATGCATTTATATGTATACATGCATGTATATGAATGTGTAACACACACACTCATACACACACACCAACATCTCCTTTATATTGAAGTTGCCAAATACTAGGATCTTGGTTTGAAGGATCTTGTCAAATTCTTCATAGCAGAAGGCACCTAGAAGATGCTACATAAGTGTTAGCTATTATTAGTCAGACACTTTACAAACATTATCTCACAGCTGCACAGGATCGTAGGATCATAGATATCACTTTGAAAGAGCCCTGAGAGCTCCAATCTCTTCATTTCACAGATGAGGAAACTGAGAGCCAATGAGGTTAAATGAGTTGCCCAGGGTCATACAGCTGCTAAGTGAATGAGGCAGGATTCAAAGGGCTTCCTGACTCCAAGTCCAGTGGTCTTTCCCTTACACTATGATGTCTCTGCAATTTCTTTTTCTCTGCTCATTTCATGTTTAGCAAGACTGTCAATTATGGTACGGTACAGTTCTTCCACTAATATATCATTTCATCAGTTGTGCAGGAAGCTCATATTTGGAGCACCAACAGTTAAATGAATGAATATAAATGGTTATAAAATGGTGTCATTCTGAGCTCCTTTGACCCCTCCCTTTTCTGCACCTCTGCCACCAATCACTCCCTAAGTAGAAGATGAATGCCAGGGCTCAGTTGTTTGGCACATTTGTTTGTTTCATGGCTTGCCACAGCCCCAAAGTCAGCAACTGGTGGTAAGTCTCTGGACCTGTGATTTCACTTGTGTAGAGAACTTTTCCAATGTAGATTGCAACTTCTTTGCAATGAATAGAAAATTGCCTCAAGCACCAAGAGGTTGACTTGCCCAAGGTCACACAGTCAGTATGTGTCAGAGACCTCAGCCTGTGTCTTCTTGAC